ATATGATTTAAAATGAAATGATCCTAACATGATTCATGAGTTTCATAGCTCTAGGAAGAATATTCTTTTTTATATGATTTGAAATGCGATCTCATCTTTGAATTGAAATAGAACAAGTAAATGCAATAATTTTTCATCTAAAATGTAAGGATCAATGCAAAAAGTGGTAAAAAAAAATTGATTGCATTTTACAAGAATATTTTGGGTAATTTTTAAGCACTTGACAACAACTAAGACAAATGCCATGCATAGAGGTTCACCATAAAGATTCAGTGTTTCACCATCGACTAGTAAAAGAACCTTAAGCTTGGTCAAAAAGCTAGACGACACTACATTTATATCCATATCCTTTTAGATAAAAGATTGACTAATAATACAAAATAAGCTTCACAATCATAAAGGAATTCATCGACAAGATTACATTGCAAGGTGGCTCTACTTGATATATGCTAAGAAATATCAATTCCAAAATGATAGAAAGAAGTTTCTTTTCACCCAATATCTAATTGGTTCGACAAAAGACTTGATATCCGACCAAGCAAAAAGTATGGTTTATATTTACCCAAGTGGCTCTTACTTCAATATACAAGGAACTAAAGTGTACCTCTAGCAAGAGAGAAGAGGAGGAGAAATCAAACGAGGTAGTAGCAACTTCAAAGCCATGAGAAGAACAAGAAAGCTTTTTGAGTCAACGATGACTAACAATAAGGAGAACCTCATTTAAATGTTGCTCATAGACGACACGATGATGTCGACCACATCGATGAATCAAGGTAAAACCCCTCCAACCTATAAATAGAAAAAGAAAAAGCCTTAAAGTGAGATTTAACATGATGTGAATTACCTAATTGGGGGATTAAGTATGACAAAAAATAATAGCTTATCTCATTTCATTAAGTGGGTTGTAGCTTAAACTTTGGCTCACATTGAAGGAAATAAATTGAGGACTGCTCCTCAGCAGTAGCTGAAGTAGTATAAATCAACCGTAGGTGGGTAGTATAAGATTAGGTTAAGCTCTATTTTAGCGCATGTAATTTTGACCGAAGACTTCTTAAGCTTTTATGGTTTATTCTATCTAAAATAATCATTATATTTTCAAAAACGTAGCATATAAGTATCTTCCATCAAGTTTGAATTAACAGATGTTATAGTTATTTATATACCATGTTGACTCATAATAAAGAATTAATGTCCATTTTAACCCATTTGGTTTTGACCATGGACCTCTTACACCCTTATGTTTTATTAGTATCTAAAATAATCCCTACATTTAAAAAAAATATAGCATATAAGCTCTTCTCGTCAAGTTTGAATTAACAGATGAAAGAATATGCTTACGTGATACGTTAGCCTACAATAAACCATTAATATAATAGCATATGATTTAAGTTTAAGAAAAATAATAGGTGGATTTAAAAACACGGATCCATGGCTTAATCAATTTCCTTCAAAACAAGTTTTTCCACGATCCGGTAAGCAGTGCATTAGCCTTGCCCTGACATTCATCGTAGAGGAAGGAGCATTTTAGTACTTGTGATGACCGAGAAGGTCATAATGTAGAGTTGGTCCCCTGGGCCCAAAGAGAAAACAATTAATCGCATTATACACTTTAGCATCCGGAGCTTCTTCCCTATCATACCTTGGCTCATATCCAGCACCGTCATCAAATCAATCGGGGTGAAGAATCCTATCGGTGGCGCTATCACCTTGAGAGCCACCATGTAGTTTCGGTGCTTCTATGCTTCCAAGAGCAGGGTCACCTGCGACATCATGCTCACAAGGATGCTACCAGCCTTGGACCTTAGTGTTGGTCGATGAGAGACTCCTCCATCAATACAACTAGTAGATCATGCATAAGGAGCCTATAAAACTTGTCTCTCGTTGGTTCCACATCCTTTTGTCTCCTCATCGTCGTCCTAAGTTTCCATAAAGACTATTTAACCTTTGTCAACTTATATTTGACGGAAATATTTTTTAAAATATAAAAATTATTTTAGATGTAAATAAACTACGAAAACTCGGGAGGTTCATAATCAAAATGGATAAGATGAACCTTAATTCTATACGAGTAATACATATTATTCTACTTGTTTACATGAGGGTGGAGCTACCGACATCGTTCGTGATGAGGAAAGCATATGTCAAGCAGCTGGCCAGATGTATCTACATGAATACGTGGAGCAAAGGCAGTCGGATTTATCATCGTCCAAAGTGAGATGGATTCACTTTAGCAAACACATTTATTTCCCAAGTCCATGGATCATAAATAAAGCATTTGATTACTGACATTAAACAGCTATTGCTACAACTTACATTGCTTTAGAGAAATGTGCTGCCAGGAAAGCTAGGCCAGATAAAAAAAAAAAAAGAAAAAAAAAAGGGTGGATAATTTCCCCAAGAATTAATTGTCTATAGTTCTCCAAAATGACTTCACCCCGTCATTTCATTTGGTTATGGCTTTACTATATATTTTCTTACAAGCCTAACGTTAACAGAACCGTCGTCAAGTTCAGACCGAACCCAAATAAATCTAAAATCGGCGGTCCATCAAAAACCCAACTCCAAAATCGACTCGCGCATTGATCCGAACCGATTCCCCCGGTCCACGTTAGCTTTCTCCCCCTCCTCCTCCGCACGCTCGCCATTGCCTCTTTTCCCAACCCTCTCCTCCCTCTTCCTCTCGTCATCGGCCCCCGCACTCCCCGCCCACGTGCCGATTCGTCTCCTCCGCTTATTATTCTACCAAGGAGAAACTAGGGTTTTGCCGAACGTCGCCTCTCTCGCCCCCCTCCCCATCCTTCCCGCCGCTACGTCGATCGCCGTTCCTCGATGGAGCCGCGGCGGCACCACTCGAAGAACGGCCTCTCCTACTCCAATCTCTTCAACCTCGAGGTAATTCTCACTAATTCCTTCTCGTTCCTCTTCGCCTCTTTCTTCTGATTTTTTTGTCGAGATTCTCGTCCATCCCCGAGGTAATTCCTTTTCGTACAATGGTTGGCCTTCTCTGTAGTATTCTTGATGGGGACTTTCTCTCGACTGCCTCAACTTGGTGGCATTGGTTCTCGTGATTGGCTGTGCAGAGTTAGATTCAGCTTTCGTTTGGTTTTAGGCCGTTGTTGTTCTTAGCACTCTAGTTGGTTTTTCGTTTTCTAAAGCTTTTTTTTAAAAAATATATTATTATATGATTGTACCGCGAGCATTACCATCAATTATGATGATTGTTTTGTTTGCTCCTTCGGTGTTTCTTGATTCCTGTTGCTATTTGTTGTTAAAGTACGCATTTTTGCTTTTCTTTCTTTCTTATATGAGGGTCTACTGTATTTATATTTCCATTCTAATGTTTTGTTCTTGATGTTGTTGGTTTGCATGTAGCCGTTAATGAGCTTTCAAGTACCACAGCCAGATGATGAATTTCATAATTATGAGGATAGTAGTCAGGACGAGAATAGAAGCAGCCAAGGTACTCGCCTTTATGTTCTTTGTTTAGTTTCTTTCTTCTATTCTTTTCTCCTTTTTATATTTATAGTACATGGTATCGTGACTACAGATTACACTCTAGAGACCCGTTGCCTGTTAATGCTTTTACTGCCCAAAAAATATATATCTTTTAGTGTGATACTTAGCATTCGGGTACTCATTGCTCTAATCGTGATCTGTATGCATTGTTTCTTTCTTGGTTGTTTGTGAAACAGGTCAGGGGGTTCTTTTTGAGCGGTGCAATGGTGAAATATCTCCAGAGTTGATCCGGAGGAGGAGGAGGCATGGTGTCGAGTCTGAGGCTGTTGCAAACTCATCCTTGAGGAATGATACTGACAGTAATGATGAGGTCGATGAAGAATATGAAAACGGAATATCCGAGGAACAATACCGTGCAATGCTCAGTGATCATGTGCAAAAATATAGGAAAGTGAAGTCCAAAGAATCATTGTCAGGATTGGCTTCCTCTCGGATAGCAATGTCAGGTACAAAGCGAAGTCATGGGAGTAAAACTAGGAAGTTCACTGGTGAGCCTCTAGTTTCTGCTAAGGGGGAAACAACATCGCGTAAGATGGAAATATCACCTGGATATTACGAAGCTGATTTGGATGTGGATTACGATGGGGGTAATAGGTACACTTTGTCCATGGATTCTACTTACTTGGACATTGGTGAGGGTATCACATACCAAATACCTCCAACTTATGATAAGCTTGTGGCTTCGCTGAACTTACCAAGTATTGCTGACATTATAGTTGAGGAAAATTTCCTAAATGGTTCTTTAGATTTGCGGTCTCTGGCTGCCATGATTGCTACTGATAGAAGGTTTGACACGCTCAATCAAGGTGGATTGAATGAGCCTCAGCCCCAGTATGAATCACTTCAGGCTAGGTTAAAGGCACTCTCATTTGGTAATTCTGATAAAAAATTTACACTTCAAGTATGCGACATTGGTCTGGATCCATTTTCAATTCCGGAAGGTGCAGCTGGTAGGATCCGACGGTTAATCATGTCAGATTCTGGTACTCTACAGGTTTATTATGTCAAAGTCTTGGAGAAAGGGGACACTTATGAGGTCAGTTTTTGGCAGAAAGAAATTGATTATATGAGTAGGATAAACTTAAGCATTGGAATCTTATTTGGTCCTTTTAATTTGAATTATCTTTGATTTGATTACAGATTATTGAACGGAGCTTACCAAAGAAGCAAATAGTGAAGAAAGATCCTTCTGAGATTGAGAAGGAAGAGATAGAGAAGATAGGGAAAGTCTGGTTTAATATTGTAAGAAGGGATATTCCGAAGCATCATAAGATATTTACTAATTTTCACAAGAAACAACTCACAGATGCTAAACGTTTTTCGGAGACTTGTCAAAGAGAGGTATTAACCATGTTTCTGGAATGCATCATTCTGCTACTTGGCGCGATTTGATTGTTGATTATATTTTTCTGTTTCCATTCTAGTTGATTGTATATATACATAAAATTTGCAGGTAAAGTTGAAGGTGAGTAGGTCACTAAGACTGATGAGAAGTGCTGCGGTTCGAACTAGAAGGCTAGCTAGAGACATGTTGATATTCTGGAAGAAAGTAGACAAGGAGCAGGTAGTTGAGCTTTTCTTTTCCACACTATAAATGTTTTAGTTATTTCCATTTGACTATGGTGATATAACTATTTTTGCAGAGTGGTTGGATTCACTTTCTTTCCATGTTACTCTATTTTTTCATATGCAGTCTTGCAGTTCAATAATGTTGTTCTGACAAAGTTATTTCACTAACATTCAACTTGCTACATGTTTTGGTCACATTCTTCATATGAAATTTCGGTTGGTATGCATAACCATGGATGAGATGAGACCCATGTTTTCTTCTGTTAAATAGTTGAAAAAATTGTTAGCAAGAGGAACTGTTTGTAGTACCTTCTCTTTCTTTGTGTTTAATCCTGTCATGTATTTTTTTCTTCCCGGTTTAAATAGAGGCTTGAAGATTGACAACTTTTTAAAAATAGTTTATATATGTTCTTTGGATATGTTAGGATATATCCATCCGCTGCACATCATTCCATGCAAGAACACAAGAAACTTCATAATGAAGTTTTTTATTTCTTTTACCATTTCTAGGCATCTAGAAATCCCAAGTCCTCATGCACTAAAGATTGGAAGGTTTGCCATCTGCAGAAGCTAAAATTTGGTCATAAAATGAGTAAAATGCTATGAAATAGCTATAAAGCTCATTGTTGTATATGTTGGAGTTTTTGCCACGTATTTTTCATGTAATTCCATATGTCTAGTGGTGCACATTTGAGATTGTGGCAGTATGGAACTGCATAGAACTTTACTATGTTAGATTGGCGTTGAATTGCAATTGGATCGGTATCAAGCACCCTAATCCTTGATTTAAGGTGCTAGTGGAGCAGTTCCAATATCTCTAGAATAAAATATGTGATAAATTGACTAAGCAATAGGATTTTTTTAGAGCTGGATTCTTTGCTGCAGAAATTATTTCCCTTCTTGAAATGTATTGGATCATGTGGTGAAACATGCTAACAATGATTTTGATTCAATATCAATCTTTAAATATTGTACCTTAAAGCATGTAGAACAGTTTGAAAAGTGGTAGATGTGTGAAATAAACATTCCTCAGTATTCTTTGTAGCTTTTACAATATATTATATGGTCCATGCAAGGAATTTTCTGTAATTGTGATCTTTAACTTAAAAACTGGTGAATTGGATAAAATAAGTTCTGATGGTGTTTGCTTATTGCTTCATCAAAAAAGCTATTTTGTCTCTATACATTTTTTGGTTCTTAAATATATATTCCAGGACATTGGTAAACCAATTGGGAATATCAATTTCTTCTTTAAGCATCCTTAAGTGAGTATATGCTATTTGAAAGAACTTGAACCCTTGAGGTTTAACTGAAAATGTGGTTTTAGGCTGAACTGAGGAAGAAAGAAGAAAGGGATGCAGCTGAAGCTTTGAAGCGTGAGGAAGAATTACGTGAAGCTAAGAGACAACAGCAGAGACTTAACTTTCTCATATCACAGACGGAGCTGTACAGTCATTTCATGGGGAACAAGTCTTCAGCACAACCTGTGGAGAACTTATTGGTGGTAGAAGGTGAAGCTAAACTTCCAGAAGAGGAATCATTGCCTCTTGATTCTAAATCAGAGGATGAAGAGGATCCAGAAGAAGTTGAACTTAAGAAGGAAGCTCACAGGGCCGCCAAACAAGCTGTTTCTCAGCAGAAAAAGATTACAAATGAATTTGATTATGCATGTTTAAAGCTGCGACAAGTAGCTGAAACCAAGGATCAGGGAAATGACTCAGCTGGAGGGTCAAATGACATAGACCTTCTAAACCCGTAAGTTTACTCATACTAAGCACCATCCATTGACCAAAACAAGAAAGGAATAGCTATTGCTTGTTATAGTCTAACGTTAACTATATCATGATATGTATCTTCAGCTCCACAATGCCTGTAACATCAACTGTACAAACACCAGAGATGTTTAAAGGGCATCTTAAAGAATATCAGCTGAAAGGATTACAATGGCTAGTTAACTGTTATGAACAGGTAATTATTTGGATCCTCTGCAAAAATTCTTGCCACAATTGGATATCACTCGGCTTTTCAAGCCTTTCTTGGGGCTTCTTGGCTTACTTCTTTTTTCACTTCTGTTTTTGTACAGGGTTTGAATGGAATTCTTGCTGATGAAATGGGCCTTGGAAAGACAATCCAAGCTATGGCCTTCTTGGCTCATTTGGCTGAGGTTGGTGACTGATTATTAAGTGATGGTCAGAACTGTGTTTGAATGCCACATGTTAGTTTCCATATATCTGTTATGACTTAGGGTATCTCTGGTTCAGGCATTTTGATAAACTGGTTAGAGTTGAGAATGATCAAATTACCATTCAAAAGAGTTCTGACTGAATAACCCAAGATAAAGCAACCCACCTAAAGGGTGGGTTAATATAACATTTGCAATTGATTTTCTTGTTGGTCCAGATTACATAGTTAGCTAGATAAGCAAGAAAAAACTTGTTTAAAGTTAGCAAATTATGTAATTTAGTCCAGTTATGTTGACCACCACGAATGTTCTTGTCTAGAATTTAGTTCACATTTTATGTTTTTGTTGGTGGATTAGAGCTATTTTCGGTTTACAGTTTGGCATACCAAGTTTTTAAAGATCTGTTTCAGCTTTCAACAACTACAACTCTTGCATGTTCCTTTACATTTGATAATTATGTGAGCAGGAAAAGAATATTTGGGGTCCATTTCTGGTTGTTGCACCATCTTCTGTCTTGAATAATTGGGCTGATGAAGTCAGTCGGTTCTGCCCTGATTTCAGAACACTTCCATACTGGGGTGGGTTAAATGAAAGAACAGTACTCAGGAAAAACATTAATGCAAAGCGTCTTTATAAAAGGTAAGTTGTGTGTGGCTATGAACATGCTATTCTTCTTTTGATCTTGTATTGGTAAACTGTAACTCCCATTTTGTATTGTTGTGATCACTAATAGCTTCTTTCTTTATAGGGATGCTAGATTTCACATACTAATTACAAGCTACCAGTTGATTGTGACTGACGAGAAGTACTTACGACGGCTAAAATGGCAATATATGGTTTTAGACGAAGCCCAAGCTATAAAAAGTTCAAGCAGGTGGTTGTTTTATTCTGTGATTTTTTTACATATTTATTGATAGAAACTTTAAAAAACTTTATTTATTCTGAATTTCTTAAAGCTACTTTGCAGCCAATATATAGGTCTCCATCTCAACTAACATCCTTGTTATAGAAGGATGCTTTTCTTTATAACTCACATGTGCATCCTGTTTTATTTATATATTGTAGTATACGATGGAAGACGTTGCTCAGCTTTAACTGTAGAAATCGCTTGCTTCTGACTGGAACTCCAATACAAAACAATATGGCTGAGTTGTGGGCCCTTCTTCATTTTATTATGCCAACCTTGTTTGACAGTCATGAGCAGTTTGATGAGTGGTTTTCTAAAGGGTATGGCTTTGTAGGATTCTTTCTTGTTCAAGTTTTGTTTCAATGCATTTCTTGCTAAATTCCTTTTTTATTGTCAGTATTGAGAGTCATGCAGAACATGGAGGCACCTTAAATGAACATCAGCTCAATAGACTGGTGAGTGTAATTGTTATGTAGCATGAGTACATTAACTATATCTGATAGCTCTCTGCTTGACTGAAAATGAAAAGCATAGTTTGCCAACATTGCATCACATCTTCTTTCTTGAAATATTTACTTGGAATAGAGAGGAAAAACTTAACCTGACTTGATGTGGTCAAGGGTAAATAGACCACAGGACCTGTATGTACAAAATCATATATACGGATATATAAGCAACATATTCACTTTATAGATTTTTTTACTTGAGATAATATTCATAAATACTCATTAGCATATTCCTTTTCGTAGTCTATTTTCTTTGCAACAGGTTATGTATTTTCATGTATTGATAAGTATTTTAAGGTCTTTGCTAGTTAAGTTTCCAGTAATGGTATCTATATAATGGAAATGTTATCTATATATGTTATGCCAATCCCAAAGGTCATATTCGAGTTGTTAATTATATAAGGATAGATGTTTCTTTCTAGGGGTATGTGATTTTCTTCTTATTCTTGTAGCATGCAGTATTGAAGCCTTTCATGCTGAGGCGAGTTAAGAAAGATGTCATATCAGAGATGACAGGGAAGACAGAAATCACAGTTCATTGTAACTTGAGTTCTCGACAGCAGGCTTTTTATCGTGCTATAAAGAACAAGATATCCCTTGCCGAGCTTTTTGATGGTAGCCGTGGCCATATGAATGAGAAGAAAATAGTTAACTTGATGAATATTGTCATACAATTAAGGAAGGTACACCTTTTTATGTAAACTTTAAAAATTGTAGTCTTTATAAATACTTTTAATCCTTGTTCATCCTGTAGTATATTCAGTACACTCTGGGTTATCTTGTAAATGTGTGATATTCTAATAGTGAGGTCTATTATCTGAGAATGTTCCTTTCTTTATATTTTAGGTGTGCAATCATCCAGAGTTGTTTGAGCGTAATGAAGGAAGCTCATATTTTTACTTTGCGGAGATCCCAAATTCTCTTCTTCCATCTCCATTGGAGGGAGTAGATGTTAATTATGCAGGAAATAGGAATCCAATAACATATAAGGTGCTTTTTCCATATTCCCTTTTCATTTATCAATTGATTATGCGCTTCCATGGGATTGGCCTTTCAGTTTACTATGTCCATGTTTTTCTTCTTTTCTTTTATTGTAGTATTTTTTTCAAATTTCAGGTGCCAAAGCTGATCCATCAAGAAATTATTCGAAGCACTGAAGTACCTTTTTCTATTCCTCGACGTGGTGTTCACTGTGAATATTTTGAGAGGCTTTTTGATATATTTTCACCAGGCAACATTTATGAGTCTGAATTGCCAAAGTATAAATGCCTAGTAAACTCTTCTGAAGTTAGTGGAACATTTGGATTTACTCGTCTGATGGATTTATCACCTATAGAAGTCTCATTTTTAGCCAAGTGTGTGCTACTTGAGAGGCTGTTCTTTTCTCTCTTAAGGTGGAATAGACAACTCATTGATGAAACCTTGGACCTGTTTATGGAGACAGAAGGTGATGATCTTGAAAATAGTCATTTGGATAGACAAACTACTAGAACTATTGCACGGATGTTGCTGTTGCCAACAAGGTCTGAAGCAAGCTTGCTTAGAAGAAGGCTTGCAACTGGTCTTGGTGATGCCCCATATGAGGCTTTGGTTACCTCTCATAATGATAGGTATACATCGAACATCAGGCTTTTGCGTGCAATGTATGCATTCATTCCACGAGCCAGAGCTCCACCAGTAAGTTCAATTGTTTATCTTTCTTTCACTATTGCTGATATCAGATTTTCACTTGCTATATACAGAGAAGATAGTCTTTTCAAAAATGTAGCTTAGTGTGTTATTTGCACAATTATCATTGGTTTTGAATTATACTCAGGCAATCTCTTTTTGGCATTAATTTTTATATTCTGGTTCACAGATACATGCTCAGTGTCCTGACAGGAGCTTTGCCTACCAAATAAATGAGGAACTTCATCATCCTTGGATGAAGAAATTGTTTCTTGGATTTGCACGCACCTCTGAGTTTAATGGTCCTAGAAGGCCTATGCATCATCATCACTTGATCGAAGAGATTTCTCAGTCATATGCGATTGAGCCCATTTTTCAGCTTCCATACAGGATTTTTGGTTCTTCACCACCCATGCAAAGCTTTGATCCTGCTAAAATGCTCACGGTACTGATTTTTGATTTATAGAACAATTGAAATGTGAGATAACCTCCAGGCTATTCTGTGGAATCTGTTGGTGGTCATGCTTTTTCAGCTATTTTAGGTTGTTTTATTAGGTGTGATGCTGTTAAATTGTCATTGGATGTAGCCACTAATCTACAAATCTTTTTTGTAGGATTCTGGGAAGCTTAAAACACTGGATATACTACTGAAACGTCTCCGGGCTGAAAATCATCGTGTGCTTTTATTTGCACAGATGACAAAAATGTTGAATATTCTTGAGGTATTTGTAATTTCTACTGACAGCCTTTATATCTTTTTTCCCCTCAAAACTTCTCAGCAATGTCAACTATGTGATGAGAACTTGGCTTTAGAGTGTGGGTCAATTAGTTTTTTCAAAAAATTTAATTGCTAAGAGTGGGATAGTAAATGAAAAGTTTACTGTGTTCCAGTTTTGAGTGTTGGTCTGTCTTTTAAGCTTCAACAATGATTTAACAGACTTCTACTTTAGAATGCTCTGGATCATCTAGTCTGAAACAACATACTTGCTAACATATGCTGGATCATCTTATCAGATAACATTTTTTTATTTTCCCGGAAAAGGTTGTGTAGTGTTTAACTGTGGTGTTAGCTACTATTATCTAGTAAGAAACATGGCTCTGATTATCTGATAGCCTCCACTTTGATGGAGAGGATTTCTAGTGAACATGGAGTACAGAAGTCCAATGATGTTCTTAGATTCTTGCATTAAAGAGTGTTATTGGTTATGGATGACTAGTTCTTGAATAGCATGGCTAGTTTCTACAACTTTTCTTAACTTAAATTAACCTTAAAAAGTTTGCTGTCTGTTAGGGAATTGCAGTTTGTTTTTTATGGGTACGAATCCTCATGCTGAAAGGGCTTCATTGCTTCGATGATATTAGACACATAAAAGGATTTAACAGAAAGGACAGTTTCTTAACATTTAGAACTTAAAAGCCCATGCCTCTATTTTGTTACCTTGGTTCAAAGGAAACAAGTTTTCTTTTCCTTCAGTATTCAGAGGTTCCATTGTGATGTATTTATATCTATCAATGGTAGTGACATACTTTTTTTACTACGAACTAGCAGCTTCTTCCAGATGAGAACACTATAATATTTTGCAGGACTATATGAACTATAGGAAGTACAAGTATTTTCGACTAGATGGATCATCTACTATTATGGACCGTCGTGACATGGTCAGAGACTTCCAGCGCAGGTAAGCAGTCTTCTTTATAGTAATATCTTAGAAGTATGTGAATTAAATTGGTACAGGGGTCCTATAACTAAGATATTTGATGATTAAGCTATTTAATACTTTGCTTTAGTTGACCTAGGATTTTGTTTCTGTGCAGGAATGATATTTTTGTTTTCTTGCTGAGTACAAGAGCTGGAGGGCTTGGTATTAATTTGACTGCTGCTGATACTGTCATCTTCTATGAGAGTGACTGGAATCCAACTTTAGACTTACAGGCAATGGATAGGGCACATCGATTGGGTCAGACAAAGGAGGTCAGTGAAATTAATAACATGCAAACATTGTCAAGTTTTGCATACTCCAAGGTTTTTAATAGTCTTGCTGTCTAAATCTATGAAACAATACTTGAGGGTGTAAAGATGTCTACCTTATATTTGCACATTGCTTAGTTATTGTTATAATCACCTATATTCTGATTGTGAGGAAGTGTAATGAACATAATAATTAAATAACGAAACTATACTTACGGGTGTAAAGACGTCTACCTTATATTTGCACAAGGGTATACATTGCTTAGTTATTGTTATAATCACCTATATTCTAATTCTGATGAAGTGTAATGTACATAATAATTAAACAACCAATTATATATTCATTGAAGTATTTGTAACCAATGCTGGTTTCTATTTGCATAGCCCGGCATGAGATACTGGGCTATTTAATCTTTGACATCACCGGAGCCATGTTCTCTTGATACATTTTTTTTTATAAATTATTACCATGTAATGGAGAATATATGAATTTTGTTGCGAATGGTGAGCAATATTTTCTGGCAAAATGGTTGATGCAATTGAAATTCTGTTAGAATGTAGAGACCTGCGAAGAAAAAACTTTGTGGTCCCCCTTTGCTTTTTGAAACTCAAAGCATGTGATCAGCCTTCTGTAGGCTTCTGTGAACTTTTGAAGTGTATTTAAGTAAGGTTCTCAATTTTGAGTACTGGATTCATGTGGGTTCTTGGTCAGAACTTATGTTTCCAGTCCGTTCCTGCATACCAACATATGGAGGAAGAAGAGGAGGGAAGGGTGAGGAGGTGGAGAAGAAGAGGGGAGGAGGATAAGTCGGTGGCGGTTGAGGAGGATAAGTTGGTGGCCGACGAGGAGGATGAGGATAGGAGTACCACTGTGTGGTGGGAGGTGAGTGGCAGCATGCAGGGCATCTGTGAGAATTGCAGGGGGCGGGATTGCAGGAGGCATGGGGAAGTGGGGTCATTTTTAGGATTTAGGTTTCTAGCCCTTGGACCATGCAGCAAGCCCTTCTTCAATTGACTGTGTATGTTGGGCAAGATGGATGGTTGATTTTAGAACTTGTAATTTGTTCTATCATTGCATGGATTACAGAGTAAAAATAAATAGATTTTTCATGAATAGTTTTATATTAAATTCTTGTTACTTAGCATATTTGGATTTCTTTTTTGTGTATATTTTCTTTATATCACTTGTTTTGAAATTTTCATAACCTGGAACAACTATAATCCTTTCTCATATTTGTGAGTACTGTACCATATTTAACATTTATTAATGTGAATTTGAAGCATCTCAGACAACATTTTCCTTATGGAATGACCTAGTATAGTTTTTTTTATATGGATATTAAGAATTGTTGCTTATTCCTGTCTTTCTACAGCAAATAATAACCTTCATTAATTTCTTAAAAGAGAAACTATTTCCATTTTAGCAAAAGGAGTAATTCTAGAGTCTTTCCATGGAATTATCAGTTCATATTCACATCATCTGTAGCTTAACCTGAAAATCATGAATGAACTTCTGTAACATCTTTTTTTACCTTTTTAAATAGCACTTCATTTTTCGTGCAAGGTGGTATGGACTTATCCAGTTGGATCTAATTGAAACTTGTAAGAGAACTTAAAGCCCATGTGGAAAAAATACCACTGGTTTATGCACATCATAGATATGCCTGGATGTCTGCATTTTTCTTTTTCCGGTTGGACAGTTTCTGTCTGTCTGCCTGACATAGACAGAAACTGTTGCATTTGCAACCTTTATTTTTAATTCAACTTCAGTGTATTGATGTGTACTGAGATGCCTTCATTGATGATATGTCATATTGCTCTTCAGGTTACCGTTTATAGACTCATTTGCAAAGAAACAGTTGAAGAAAAGATTTTGCAACGGGCAAGCCAGAAGAATACCGTGCAGCAGCTCGTCATGACAGGTGGTCATGTTCAGGGTGATCTCTTGAAGCCTGAGGATGTTGTTTCTTTACTCCTTGATGATGCTCAGTTGGAGCAGAAATTGAGAGAAATACCGGTACAGGTGGCTATCCCTTAACACCCAACATTTCTTTGTTTTCCACTCAACCTCCGAAGCTATAGTGGTTATCTAGATATGGTTTGTCTCACCATGGTATGTCAGAGTCATGGTTCCAAATATCAATTCATATGGTGTGTATTGAATAGTATTTTGGCATACATGGTCTGATAGATTACCAAAATTGGTAAAGGATTGATATTTAAAACCTTGGTCAAAATAGCTCTGAGTTTCATAATTTAGTATTTTGGATGAATATCTTTTATCTGGTTTTGCAGTGTAGAACAATGTTTATGTAGTTATCATAATTGGAGTTTCTTGTTAAATATATCAAACAATTTAAGTTCTACTTCACTTATGGCTGATTATAGTTACCGTCATCTTTCTTTAGCAGCCAAAGGATCGACAGAAGAAAAAGCGGTTAAAGGGAATTCGAGTAGATGAAGAGGGGGATGTATCTCTGGAGGACTTCACAAACAGTGGTTCTGCAGAAAACGAGTTAGAGAAAGAGAATGCACATAGAAAAAAGGTCTTCTTGGCTAAAATAAAGTTGCTTCACGGTTCATAATTTGCACATCTGAATTTTATGATGAAAATTTTAAATAATGGATTATGGTGTTTTCTTTTGCACTTACATCAAATATTTTCTTTTGTTACATCTGGATGCAATTTTTTTCTTATTCTTGTGTTATCATGCTATTTGTTAAGTGATGCCTAATTTCTAATGTTGACTGTCATAAGTTCACCGTTCTCAACAATTGGCTAGTGACAAATATGTTGAATTTGGACAAACTGCATCGACTTACCGATTTTTAAAAAACACTCTTGAGTTGATAGAACTAGAAAAATTATTTGATGGTGACAAAAATTTTGGGGTGTATGAACATGGGTATATTTTCATGTAGAATGGATTTATTAAAAATTCAATAGCTGCAGAGCAGCACCTATGCCTTCAGAACTTCAAATGCATAGTGTTATTTATTTGAATTCTTAATTATATCTTTAGTTAGTTGGTGAATATTTTTCAAATTAAATCTTAAATCAGTGAACTGCTAGTTTATTTTAATTTAATTTAGTGTAATTTTGGATGATAATTGGATGGAGAAAATAACTCCAATTTTCTTTTGAGAAATTCAGAGGATTTTATATTTAGTGAGTATGCATGGAAATAGTCATTTGTTACAGTTCTCCTTTAAGAACTAACACAAGCAGATGGTCATCTGCACTTTGATCATCCAATAAAATTGTTGTAGATTTATTTGTCTTTACTTTGGTTTTGATGGATCTTTACATCCATTGTGCAGAGGAAAGCAAAATCCCAGAAGGATAATCCTTTACAGTTGCAGAACCCTCAGAGAACTGCAGAGGACATGGATCTGCTACTTGAAACTGATGAACCCAGTCCAAGTGGGTATGAGGAAGATCATATTGTCCAAGAAAGGTCAAAAAGATTAAGAAGGCCAACAAAGAGCATCAATGAGAATCTTGAACCTGCATTCAACTCTGCAGACAACGTGCCCATTATGAACTCTTCCGAAGACCAGCCGACTTCATATGACTATAAATCTGGTGTCTACGGGTCTGGTTCACAGGATGCCTTGCCATCTCAAGCTCCGGTTGCATAAGAGTTAAAGAGGAGGACCTAAACCATCTTATGAGATCTCTTGGGCAGCCTAAGGTTTCTGAAAGCACAATGATGGGAAAAATTTAGTGCAACCAGACCTGGCTCTCTACTTGTCCGAGTTGGAAAAGCAATGCTAAGCTCCAGCGGACGTTGCTCAGTGTTCTGAAGCTATGGGGAAGCAGTGCGGAGTTATCTACACATGCCAGGAGGATCAGTCCGGCATTTGCCGGTCTCCATATTACATGGAACTGGCTATGTACAGAGACATTGTATACTGAAATTAAAGGTGCTCAAGAGTCTGTAGTGATTTTATTTTTGCTGTCTCCTCTTATTTTTTGGGGTGCGAAATTAAAACCTGCACTAAGAACGTTGGGAAATGCTGCAAAATTTGCACCGAAGTGCAGCAGTGTAAATAATCCTTCCAGGTTTTTGGCTATTTAAGCTTCTGATTTTTTGTCATGAACTCGGGATATTGTGTGGAGGGAGTTGTCGCTTTCCACCAGTTGTACTTCCATTATAGTAATACGAAAGAGGATCAATGCGTGTCGTGTTGCAGTAGGAAGCATAAAAGTCTTATCGATCTGCTAAGATATTAGCTTCCTCCCAATGACAAGGCATGTAAATTGACCCCTTCCCCTTTGGAGTATATACGTTGATCCTCCCTAGACATTTAATACTGCAGGAAAGGCTCCACGATGGCTAACTTCTCATTGGATTAAGTATTGCACTCTATTACACTGATGATACCTGGTTGTAAAGAGGCATCATATCTTGCTAGATATACAACATCTGGGTAACATAAGTCATACACCAAATCAAACAACACAAAAATTGATAGAGTATCATGCACAATATCAAAGTATCGGTATTTCTAACATCAACTGTTAGCACGCATGAATACCACGTCTGACACACATGAATGATTAATACATGAAGACTCGTTTATTTGCCAACATATGGCTTTATTAAAATGCATCCATGTGTTAATTACGAAGATCTTACAATTATTTTTGTATAAAAAAGTGACAGAATTACATTATTAATACAATAAATAATTTAACAAAAGTATCTAAAATAACTAATACTTATGAAATTGGCATTTGTTACAAACAAATAAGTGATAAGAAATATACAACATTAAATCTTTTCTTATAGCCAATATAAAAAAAAACAGATATATTTCTTGCATTTTCATTTGATGCATGTCTAAGTTTGCATCTACATAAGTTAAATTATGATCTCTATACTTATAAAGTGAAGCATTTAATCTTGTTTTTCCTTACGTCATCGATTCTGTTGATCAAAATACTACAAAATTGATCACTGAGCACGTGATGACTTTGCTTTACCTTAGTTTACCACGTATAATTTTTTATCAGTAAAGTCGATGAGAAGAAATAAAATTAAATATTTCACTTTCATAAATATAGAGATCCCAATATAATTTTTAAAAATATAAGGAACGAGATGCGAATGATAATTAATTACAAGTGCTAATATTAACCCTCATCATTATCACTTTGGATAATGATAAGTATGGGCCCAATGTGGAAACTTGAAGGCTAAAACCTTGTGTGAGCCATCATCATCCTCGTCATATTCGTTCAACATGGCTGTTCCTTCTCCATATTCGCTCATCATACCAATAACAACTGATGGAGAAATAAAGCCAAGAAACCTCTGAGTAATTCTTAAAGATATTTGTACACGAAGAAGCCACAAACCTAACGTTTTTCTTTGATTCCATCGCGTTGATTGATCCGCACCCAACCCTTTGGTCTTTTTCACATTTTGTCTCACAAAACCATCCTTCCGCCCATCACCACCATCCATTTTGGTCATCGACGTATCTGGCCGTCCATCATGCGCACGAAGTCCTCGAAGCCCACGAAGCCGTCGCCGTCGGCGTCGACGCCGCCGATCATACGGCGGCAGTCCTCGAGCGTGCACCCGCAGTCGCCCAGCGTAGCGAACACGCCCAGCAACTCCTCCGCCGAGATCTTGCCGTCCCCGTCAGCGTCAAATACCGCGAACGCCTCACGGAGCTCGGACTCTCCGCCGCCGGCGCTGGCGGCCAGCGCGGGTCCGAGGGCGGCGAACTCGTCCAGGCTGATACACCCGTCGCCGTCGCGGTCCATCTCCGCCACCATGGACGCCACCTCCTCCGCGGTGGGCGCGTCCGGGACGAGCCGCCGCAGCACCGCCTCCAGCTCCCGCTTCGTGATCTTGCCGTCCCCGTCGCAGTCGAACATGTTGAACAGGTCAAGCAAGGAGACCTCATCAGGGAAGAGAAAAAGCGGCGTCTTTCCGTGGGCCGCTTGGAGGACGGATCTCGGCGTTGTTTGGAGGCCAGTCGCCGTCGAGTACTCTTCCGAATAAGAAGAAGCGGAAGAAGAAGAAGAAGACGCGTTCAAAGCGTCGGTTCGAGCGATGGCGCGCCTGCCCTTCTTCTTGTTCTTTGCGGCGGCGGAGTACTTCTTGAAAGAGCTCAAGAAGGAATCCACACTTAGCTTCATTTCGAGGCGTGGAAGAAGAAGAAGAAGAAGAAGGAAGAAGGAAGAAGGAAGAAGGAAGAGAGAGAGAGAGAGATTTGGGTGGGGAGGGTAGAGAAGGGGAGAGGAAAGAGTTAAAACAGGGATGAGGAGAGAGAAGAGTGGGAGACGGCAGTGAGCTTCGAGGAAGTTTCGTCGTTGGAATTGTCGCATTGATTTGGCATGCTTTTCAATGGCATTGATGTGAAATAATGGTGTTCTTTGATGTTTTATCTACATCGACATAACATATTTCCTCTTTATATTTGAATATTATATATGTGTTTCCAAAAATTTTACATTTCTCATGTATATCCCTTCAAATCCTTAAATCGTTCATATATAAATACTCTGATTAATAACTAACAAATATTCCTGCTACTAAAAAATAAAATATCAACATCAATCTGATTTTTAATTTTATTATTATTTCCACTAGTCAATAGGTAGAGATTAATTGTATACATATAAGGATATACATTTAAATTTTGTATTCTTTTATTTTGACCTTTGAATGGGTGTGTGCTTTGCGGTGCACGTGAGTAACTAATTAATTCATTTCCAGACATCAGTCAAGCTAATTAAACAATACTTGTTTGTATGTTGGATCTTTAGAGGTCTCGAGGTTTCTTTTGGTGGGCAAGCGACGATTCTGCTCGATGGCCTACGTACGTGTTACCGTGGGCGAGTGGTTTTGAGGTGTCACGAGGGGTTCATTCCCTTATATTACAATGAGGTGATTGCTAAAGTGGTCGTGACTCGAGGTGATGTAGCAATGAAAAGAATTTCATCTGAAGATAATATTGTAGATGACAAAGTTATCTGAAGATAATATCTTAGATTTTTTTTAAAACGTTACAAGGGTCTGATTGAGATCAGACACGTATATGATTTGCCTTTAGGTCAAGTAAGAGATTGATACTCATAGATGTCTCACAAGTTAATCATATAAGTGATGACACGTGTGACATAATTCTGTGTAATGAGAATCAGATCGTGATGAGATCATGATAATAAGATCGATTCGCCTTTAAACACAGATCATAAATAATTCTGATCATAGATCACTCGAGAGAGATATCAAGATGACTGAATATACTAGTATATTGTACACACATCCATATGATGGAGACGATTAGTCTCTTGGTTGCTCGTGTGGGGACACTAGGGATACGGTGTAGGTGCTCATTGGAAAATGAGTTCACTGAATAATCCGCTCACAGAATGCTGGATAGTTGATGATGCCTTATTGTCAATAGCGATTTCATCGTTCCAATAGTGTATTTGGTCCTTAGACTTGAGACATCAAGGATGTTCTATATGAATACAACACTCTTTGATACTAAATTTATAAGTCTGGAACTTCCAAATTTAGCACAACTGATAATCAAGAGTAGCAGCCAACCTTACGAGGGCTATTGAGTGTCGATAGAGGATCATCCATTCTTGGTGTTATGAGAGGAATATCCTATATATTTTTGCTTAAGCAAATCCCTAACCAAGGTTATTTGGATTAAGAGAGAAAGAGTTCTATAGGAGAATCTGATTAGAGCGAGACTCAAGTAGAAACCGTATGGGCCTGATAGCACCATGCTCAGTATACGGTCTCTAGGGTATTAGATAGACAAGGGATTATAGATACATGATAACTGAGGATAGACATGTCCAATGGATTGAATTCCCCTGTATCATTTGGGGACTATGACGTAGTGGCCTAGTACGTCCGTAATCGATGAGTCAAGTGCATTATATAGATAATAATCCACTGAGCCAGAAGGAGTTCTAATAGGTATAACTCATGACCAATTTGATAATGGGCCTAGAGAGTCACACATATGGTAGGAGTTGCGACGAGTCGAGATTTGAATATGAGATATCCGTGGGAGCTCCTATCTTATTCGATATCCAATAAGCCCTTGAATTATTGGATCATATAAATGAGATCCAATAAGAGCCAATGAGAGATTATTAGGTAGAGACCCACTTATCTAAGAGGCTTGAGTAGTTGAATGGAGATCCATTACCCAATATGATAAGATCTATTAGGGTTAAGTTGATAGGGGGCGTATATAAATAGGAGGGAATCAAAGGACAATGAGCTAGGATTTTTTGCTGCCACCTAATATTTTCCTCTCCCTCTCTCATCCTTAGCCAACAGCCTCTATTTAGGGCATGTGGACTGTTAGGACCGTAAACGACACTAAAGGAGGGGGGGAGGGGAGGTTGAGTTAGTGTTTCGTTAAAACGTCAGTTTAAAAAATTTTGTTTGATGAAGCCGTATCAGAAATATATTGCAAGTGAGAGTGGTAGACAATTCAATCAATAAGTAATGATAATAAAGAGCAGAATAGAAATATAATATAATTTTATAATGGTTTGATCATCCCGACCTACGTCTACTCCCAATTTCTTTTTCGATATTCTTTCAATGAGTGAAGATCAACTAGTCTTTTTATAACTCTTTCTCTTTTTCAAATGCTCAGAAGAAAACTTTTACATATCTCTTTTATACTAAGACCTCACTCCTCCCTTAGAAATGCTTCTAAACACTAGGAGGAAGAGACTCTATACTTCAAGAGAGATTATAACATTTTTTTACTCAAGTATTCTTTCCTATTTCTACTCTCTTTCTTGTTTACCTTAGTAGGAATTAGTGGGATATTTATAGACCCTAAATAACTTCAAAAATAGAGCAAAAAAAAGTCTCATCTCGGGTATCTAGGATACTGGTGATACCATCGCCTTTGTTGGGTGGTACCACTGCCTGCAACACTGATACTAGGTGGTACCACTACCAGATCTTTTGGAAGAAGTATATTTCATACTTTTCTAGCTCACAAGCAGTTCCACCGTCTATGTTGGTGGTGGCACTGCTTGACCTAACTTTGGGTCACTGAATAAGTATCCCAATGAGCCCAACTCAACACTAGATCAGGCTTAATGGACCCCTAATTGAGTTAGTATGGTTATACCCAAAACTAACTTAATTACGATCTAACCTACTTCGATCAAGACATGATCGATTACAAAAACTAATCCTATATTGTCCAACATGTCATTGGTTCATCTGGTGCTTTGTTCGAATCTTTGGCACATGCCCAACCATCGACATGTTGACCTCCCACAATATTTGATCTTCTTAGAGCAATGCTCGATCCTTCTGGCCTGATGCCCGAACTCATGGCATGAAGTCCTTCTGCCAACATGTCGACTAGTCCTCCGAACCGACGTCTAATCTTATAAAATGATGCTCTCCGACCTAACTTCTGATTCTCTTGCTTCAATTGATTTGTCTTTCCATGATCGAAGTTAGTCCTACATCACTCAAATGTTGATTAGATTATAACTTCATCAATTGATTTCATCATCAAAATCCAAGATTCAACATGGATAGTAAGAAGGGGCAGCCCCTTCTTGATTGCGTGGTACGCGCAAGGAAAAGATTTAGACAACGATTTGAGGAGCGTCTTCGCAGCCCCTATCATGTGGATCACTGCTAGAGAGGAGGACAATTGACCTTCTTCATCATTTCCTATAGATCTGCAGGTTTTCAGGGTTATATGATCTCCTTAGGTAACACATCTTTCTTATACGCGTAGTTTTCAATTCCGTATGTTTTGCACACTAATCTTTCTTATACATATCTTTCTCCCAATTGGTCTGATCCCCATCTTCCCATCTTAGAAATTTCACCTTCATGCATTGGTAGCTTGTGTTATGTTCTTGAGGCCTTTTCCTATATCTTTAGATCGGTTTAATGCAGGATTTGAATTTTCACATTGTCGAAACTTGCTAAAGTTCTCCAATAAGCTCTTTTTGAAATCGTTAAGGGTTTCTTGCAGTTGGTTCTCAATTTTGGTTTTAAAGGCTTCTAATTGGGCTTTCATTGAGTTATCGGTAGGTTCTCAATTTTGGTTTCGAAGGCTTCTAATTGGGCTTTCATTGAGTTATCGGTAGCTGTTGCATAAGATTACAGATGTATAATCCCCGGTTCTTATTTCTGATGTCTAGTCAAGGCATTAGCATTGTCCTATTTAGTACAACTTTTAGTGACGTCGGCCTAGGGCAACGTTGAGGGCAAGGCTGGATGGTGTTGCGACTGAGAACATCTTTATCAAGGGCTGCTGTTGAGGCTGGGAGGTTGACATCGGCCCGAGGCAGCATTGAGGGCATGGCTGGGAGGCAGAAATAGTGACTCGGCTGGGAGTAGCATTGCCAAGGGCTGGGAAACAACGACGATTGACATGGGATTACTCTATTTCTATCGCACTATGGGATGAGACGCTGGTGATGCCGAGGGATTGCAAGTGACTGAGGGCTGAGGCCATGGTTGCTGCTATTGATGCTAGTGGCAAAGAAGAAGGAAACAACGATAATCGGTGGCTGTGGCGGAAGGTGGAATGAGGCATGGGGGGGGTTGTCCTATTTCTGTTGCCGCATGGAATGAGACATTGGCGGCAATGAGGGGTCATGAGCGACTAAGGGCTGAGCCAACAATTGTTGTTGTCGATGCCAGTGGTGAAGAAGACGGAAACAGTGGCGATCAACGGCTACGACGGAAGGTGGGATAAGGTGTGGGGGGTTGCCCTATTTCTGTCATTGTGTGGAATGAGACGTTGGTAGCACCGAGGGGTCGTGAGTAGTCGAGGGCTGAGGCTGAGGCTGCGGCTGCTGCTATCGATGCCGGTGGTGAAGAAGACGGAAACAATGGTGATCGACGACTGCAGTGGAAGGTGGGATGAGACATGGAGGAAGTTGCCCTATTTCTATTGCTGCGAGGGATGAGGAATTGCAAAGGAAGAGGAGTCGTTGTAGAGACGCCAAGGACCACAGTTGGGAAACAATGATGATTGGCATGAGGGTGGTCAGCAGTGGACTTGCAACGGTAGTCCTTTCTCGCTTGAGCAGAATGTGGCGCTAATGCTAGTTGCTGTTTTGAGGAAAAGACTTGATGATGGCTGCGGTGGAAATGTGATGCAAGGAAT